AACTTCCTTGACTATGAAGGAAACATTTTATGGTTTAATACTTGCACCAAAAAAGTTTTACAAAAGTATATGCACTATATGTTTTTGAAGACAAACGTTGTTACAAAAGAATCTCCATATTCTACAAAAATTAAGTACATTTTGTTGATACATTTTCAAGACGAACATATTTTTGGGATACCGCAGTCCCATGTGGATCAGAAAATAGCCACAACGTCGTACAATTAAACCCTGACGAAGATAAATACTATCTACTTACGCCATACCCTACACTCATGCAGCCACTAAAAAAGTTTTTACCAGAAAGCATTCGAGCTATTGCTCGCAACCCAAAATATCGATTCACAACCAATTGGTATATATTTTAAATCCGATATACAACATCACATTAGAACACAACAGTTTCAAGAACTACCAACACAAATGGACACTATACAACGACAATCAATAGACCAAAAATTACGAAAACTTGCAGAAACAGCAAGATTTTCAGATATTTACGCACAAGATTACAGCGGATATTTGAAAGACATCAAAGATTACATATATTTAAACGGTGAAAAATATCGATCACAAGATATATCACCAATCAATATCTTTAGTTTTGTAAATTTGAAAAACGAAGTTTTAGCCTTTCTAGGATGGCCATATTACATCTTAGAAAGATTGACTATCTCATACGCAATGTTTAATTTTATTGGATTTCTTTTCTCGTTACTAAAAGGAATCTATAACACATGCGCAATACAAACACAAGTAAACAGTTGAGCCATTTTTGGAATAATTTCATCATCATTAAATAAAATCCACCTAGATGCACAAATAAAAGATTACAAAACAAAACTATCAACAAATCCCAACACATACGATGCCTCAAATAATAATACAAACGCATTACCTACGGCACCCATTTGCCAAATAATCATCCATTATCTTTAGTCTCACGAAATTTTCGAAATTTAGCAATCAGAAACCCCCTAAACTTAAGACCCAGCCACATACAAAGCCCCATCCAACACATAGTGACACGACAAACTTCAATTTGACGATACATACAAACAAATCCTTGAACAGCCCCATACCACCACTTTTCAGTCTCAAAATAATCATTTTTTTAGCCCACGATGAGCAGACAAGTTGGATCACTCCACCGATCAAACTCCCACCCTACCAATCTCAAAAATCCACTCCCTATTATCCCACTTTTTGCTTTTCCGCCACCTGATTCACCACAAGCTAACACATCATCCGGCATGAATTCTGACACTAACTCACATATCACAATTTATACAACAATTTCACAAATCAATAATTCTGATATTGAAACCCCCGACGAATTCGCCGATTCAGAACCATCCCTTTCTACACATACCCCGACCAGCTCAACAACCTTCTCAAAACCCCCTTTCCGACCTATACAATCCCATAGCCAACATACATCTCCCTACACTCCTTCTCAAGTAACCCGAACATACTCCCCATTCAATAATGAACGCTCCACCAACAACTCCCCTGATAATCTTCAACTTTCCGAAGAACTAGATTTTTTCATAACACTCCAACAACAATTGCTATCTCCCCGCAGCCTCACTAATCACCAATTATCATCAACAATAACAACATCAAATCCGCCAACACCCACACCAATTTCAGATTATACTCCATCATTAGCTCATTCATCCACTTCCACAGAATCATCCAACAATAGTAACCGTGCTTATAGAACTTTTAAACGTAAATTCCCCAATCATCCATTCCCATCCAAACCCGGAACCGCCCGAGAATATCTCAATCATCCAGACCACACCAATACTACGAATTTTCTTCAAATAACCCAACCTTTATTTCCCCAATATACACTAAATCAATCCGACTCTAACCCTGAACCATGTCATTTTGTAGATGAACATGTATTAATACCCACACTTCATTGGACAGCTTATTATAATTTCACTAATCCCCTTACGCTACCACTCTATAACACCACTATCGATATTGAAAGGAATAAAGACGAATTATTCAGATTAACCACAGCACTCAGATTACGTAGGATATAAAAAATTACTAAAAATATTCACTGCACCCCGCGCTAACGACTACTCAATTGAATGTTACGATCATAACATCATCAGATCTAATCAAGACCAATTTCCTGATGACGATAAATTTGCAAATCCACAAATCACAGAAAAGTTTTTTTTATTAAATCATCATACATATTCACACTTAACATACTAGATAAAAAGAATGATCACATTATTTCAGAAGCACTATCAGACATCCAAGCATATGAGTCATTTCACGAAAAATTTTAAATATTTTCACTAACCTTTCACTTCCTGACACCAAAAGAACGCGATTTGCACTGCTCACACGACATCATGTTGAGAACTAAGCAAACACCTACTTATACTTACTATCGCTTTATCCAAAATCATTTTCATTTACACACACCATCACAACCTCACCACAGATTTCAGTTCATTAATTCAAATACAGCTCACCATTTTTTCTAAACTTCACGTATTGCATTAAAAATACTAACTTCCAAGGCATCCTCTGGAATTATGATCCCATAACTCAGATGTATACTTTTTGTCCCCTCACGAAGACCTTCAATGACGAAGAATCCTGACCTCTGATCATTCCGCATGAATATATTCAACCCATAGAAGTACCCATTTTAGAATTCATCCATAATATAATCATAAAATTTATAATCTAAGCCAGAACACACCTCATGAATTTGCAGTAGGCACCGAAGAACTAAAAACCATCAAAGCACTGCAATTGCTTTGGCCACTATTGCAAACTAAAAACATAATACGCATACTAGCAAAACTACTAACTACCTCAGACGCTATTCACGACATTTTCCCACACGGCTTTTTCCCAGATGACTAACGGTATTTATGAATTTAATTATTTTCAAACTAACTAATTCAAAATCGAACTAACCATTTTATTCAGTAAATTGTATTCTCTTCAGCCTTCACATCACGATCACCTTCAAAACAAGAAAAGACAAATAAAAATATAAACTCTGCTTTCCATTTTAAACTCTATTAAACCAACAGCACTAAATGATGCAGTAAAAGTTAATTCAAAGTAGTAAATTCATTTCTAAATTATTCCCCCAAATGTAGTAAATTTAAAATACGATGAAAATCAATTTATACATTTCAACCCCAAAAGCAGTAAAATTTCACCTTAAAAGCAATAAATTCATACAAATGAAATGCAGTACTAACCTTTTCTATAACTTCTCTTTAAACACACAGAAATTCTATCCACAATCGCACAGCTCGCCCACGAAGAATTGTTGAAAATAATGAATTCAAGTTTTAAGTTTGCACTAACAACAACTCAAACAAGCAATAACAAGTTTCCACTTTTCCTTTAACCCGGTTGGAATGGAATTATATAATAACCGAACTAGCCAAAGCAGCTTACTAAACACCATAAACCGTAAACTAACAGCATGAATAAGAAAAGAAAACTCACGGTACCCAAACCGGATTAAACCAGCTTAAAACTGGATAAATTATTCTTTTGAAGACTATTACCAAGACTAAAAAAGAAACAATAAAACACCAAAAAGTCGCAAGACAAACCCAAAGCACAAACAATTTGATTTTTGAGAAAAGGACACAACCAACGAAACAAAAGGAAAACAATAAATAATATAACACAAAAGTTAACACAAAACAGGACCCTTTAAAAAACCAGCATGAAATCATACTCCCCTTACTGGCCTTACCCACCAGAGAGGACGTCCTGAGCATGCTCTATAGCCGGCCTAACCCACCGTGCTACATCCACGCTTTGTGACCACATCACTATTTTTGACAAGAGGTACTCAAGTGTGAGTAACTCTTAAAGATAACTAAAACGCTTTTGAGAAAACCATTAATCAAAATCATAACTAAAAAATAAGAACTAACAAAATTTTATAAAATGTAAATTATAATGTACAGAGACCACGAACAACCACAAGAACGAGCATCCAAAGACTAGACGAACCCATCACACTCAACCTACAGGATGGCTAAATACAACTGACATGCCGCTCACAATCACAACTCATAAAGGATTTAGAGTACGACTTGACTTCGCAGAAAAGGACTTCATTGAATCAGACCAATGACCATCTCGATGTTCAACTATACGTACAGATCCGAGTTACAAGGCATCCTCTCCACACATGATCTTCACGCCATTCCCAAACCAGATCGAAACACAGTTCTCCACAACCAATCAAGAACAGACGATCATAGCAAACCAACTTGAAATCAGATTGATTTCATTGACAGTCATAGTCTTTGTCAAACGATAGCTAACAACTTCCTATCGATGACTCCAGCTTCTTGGAGCTTTCTTCTTCAAGAACAAAACAGGAAATGATGCTCGCCAAACAACAACGACCAACATCCATCCTCCATTACAGATAGAAGATCTAAGATTCAAAACTCTGTAAACCCCGGATGGGTGGAACCAGATATAAACTACATTTATTATTTGGTTATAAATTGGAAACCAATCACGATCCATCTAACTAACAACCCACTTATTTGTAAGTGCTGAAATTACTTGTAATTTCAGCACCAGAGAGATTTGAATTTAACTTAGAAAGTAGTTACCTCTCCAAGATAACTTCAGCAATCGCAATAAGCCAGTATAGTCTAGATCTATCGAGCCTAGCAGAGACTAGTTAAACACCCTGAGACTAGTAGATATAAGAGTAAGATTAGGATCGGTATTAGACTAAGAAGTTGCACGAATCTATCCGGCCGAAAATAAGATAGCGTGACGAGCAGACGGTGTACACTATCCAAAATTACTCTATGAGTTACACCTCAAACTTAACTCAAATACTTTCTAGTCAATCTCGACATACGATTAATAATAAGATATTACTAGACTGTGGTCCAAAAATAAGTGGATACAGCTAAAACTCTTCGAATTATGTCAAAAAAAGGTTCACAAAGCCATCAACTAACCATAGATCAGATGTATGATCATACGGTCTCTCCTCCACAAGTTCAGGGGACATATACAAGGGAGTGCCTTTGATTGACGTCAGCACCAACGTGTTACTGCTCATCGCACGGGCAAATCTAAAACACAGCAAGTCCTCAATTTTACTTAACATCATTAAAGATGAATTCAACTTCCTTTCTTAATTACATCTGCAAATGAAGCCATTTGCGGTTAAGTTTAGTATTGTAAAGTATTTCGTCATAATGATCACTGTTGAGGATATACTTGATATTGAAGATATCCTTATACTTGGATTTGAGGATATACTTGATATTGAAGATATCGTTATCTTGTGATTAAATCAAGTTGTGAGCATAAATTCACTCAAAAAAGAGGGGAAAATTGTGGACTAGAGATGGGCAAAAAGAAATGGAAAAAACGCAATTCTTCCTCATCTTCTTCATCAGGTAAAGACCACCAAATCTCGATACTAACAAAATTAATATTTCGCTGACCTCTCAGAATACATACGAACATTACTCAGAAATAAAAGCGAATTTTCAGATTTAGAGAAAAAATCATCTATCATAGTCTATACACTGTTGTGTCTGCATTCTCAAACTACGTGACTGAAACTCTGACAGTTGTAGCACTGAATATTTGCGGACGCCGGCTGTCTTGAACCATCGCATCGCTTATTAGATAATCTAGGATAGCTTTATAATTAACAACTGGTTAAGTTAACAAAAAGGACTTTTTCAGACGAAGAGCAGTGTTCCTACCCACGCCTGGGATGGATCAACCCGAACCATGGCATGTACGAGTCCAGAAGTCACAGCTACAATTGCAACTGCTGCCAGAACTCACTTTCATCACTCCTACATGACTGCCTTGTTTACCCTATTTATCAAATGATATGGCTGTTTCTGTGCTTCGCTATACTCCTTGGTGCATTGGGGATATTTATTCTGGATGTTTTTTGAACTTATTTGATTGCAATGAATATTTTTAGAAGACTTATTTTCAGATGTCATCCCGAGAAGTAATTCACAAACAATTTTCATCGCACTGCCATTAACAAGTACTCTTGTTATCATGTCGCAAAATAATTTCATTTAATAAAAGATCGATTAGTTCCACCTTCAGGCAAGAGCTCGATTAAAATTCTTACCCAAAGTCGCACAGCTTGACTTGCCCAGAGCGTCCGAGAAGGATGTTCTGCGGCTTCATGTCCCGGTGAATGACCCTGTGTGAGTGTAGATAGAACAACGCCGACACCAGCTGACTAGCAATTGATTGAACCTGGCCAAAATCATTAAGTCAGAATATCGGGGCGGGGGTGATTCAACGAGCAACCATACCAACAAAACGACGATAAGCCGAAAGAACAGCTTGAATAGAAGTTAACACACCAGTAACTTAGTTCCATTTGTCGATTTGTAACTTCTATATTTATAACTTCATTAATAACTTCTATATTTATAAAAGCGTTTAATTCTATTTTAAGAAAAAGGATGCAATAGCTCCGAGAAAATTTATTGAAACAGAAAAAATTCAAAAACGCGAGCTTTGAAATAATTTGATTAGAATAAATTTTTCTCTAAATTTGTGTTCAATTAATTTATATGTGGTTGATATAATTTCTTTCTACCATTATGCGCAGCTGATATAAATTCCGGCTTGTAGAAAAGTAATTCTCTTTTCGGCTGGTTGATCCTTCGGTTTGGAAGTAAGTTCAAACTGCGAAGATAATTGTTGGGACCAATGAAAATGAAGAAGAACTTTGTATTCGGGTCGGGTGTATTTTAGTTTTGTCTCTTCATTTTTTCGTTTTCCACGCAAAATCAGATACCTCAAAAATGATCGGAATGGGTCGAGTGATATATCATATTAAAGCTCTTTCAGGCGTGACTCGAATGATATTTAAAAAAGGACCAAAAGTTACCCAAGTGTTGAGAAAGAAAGGTTTATTTTTTTCCAGCGAGTCTATTTTCGAACGTTCGGAAGCTACATTTAGCGCTATCTTGGTACTAAGGATTTTCAAGAAAACTCAAAATTATTGAGCGAAAAAAATTAGAAAAAGTAATTGTTCCAACCAATGAAAACGTGGAACTTTGTATTCGGGTGTATTTTAGTTTTTTTTCTTTTCCTTTTGTTTTCCAAGCAAAATCAGGTACCACAAACAATCATCGGACTGGGTTGAATGGGCTTACAAAAGCTCATTTAAGCTTACTTTACGCCGTGAAAACTTAGTTGCCTAAATTTTCTTTTTTTGTTCAGATCTTTTTATCACGCCATGCAGGAAAAACACTAATTTGAAAAAAGTTTTTTTTTGTATTTTTCTAAGACTGTGGTCGGAACATTCTGTGCTATTTGCACAGTAACCGACTATCCCTGTTTTTTTTTCGTTTCGTTTTCTAAGCAAAATTAGGTACCACAAATAATCATCGGACTGAGTTGGGTGATATATCATATTAAAGCTCTTTCAGTCGTTATTCGAACATTAAAAAATTTAATGCACGAAAAGTCGTTATTGGAACATTAAAAAATTCGAACATAGAAAAACCGGTTTGAAATTTTTGATTTTTCGTTTTAACTCGAGCGAGCGAGCACGCTTATTTATGCTATATTTAGGCCGTTTACAATCGCTTATTTATGCTTAATTAACTTTATTCGAGTAAAATTAGTTTTTGGACAATTTCAAGGCCATTTTGGGAATCAAAAACTCTGTTATAAAATGTGAACAAATTTTTGAAAATTTTTATGATTCTTTTGCTCCTCTAGTCATTTTTCTCCAAAATCTGTTGTCCTGTCTGCCTATATTACTAATACTGTCCAATATGCCTAAATTATAGTTTTAAGTCCGATCCTTTTATCACACCACGCAGAAAAAACTACACTAATTTGAATAAAAAACTTTTTTCTTGTAGTTTTTAAAAACTATGGTTGGAACATTCTGTGCTACTTTCACAGTAACTGGCTGCCCTTGTTTGTAGTCGATTTTGCCTAATTAACTAACTTTCTAAGCGTTTGTATAGTTATCTTGTCACACCACGCGCAAGAAACACCGACTGAAAGGGCCTTAATGTACACCATTCCAATGATTATTTGCGGAACCTTACTTTTCGTAACAAAAAACACTTAACGATTCGAAGAAAAAGTTCCTCCCTACTTTCAGTGGTGGGAACAGAAATCGAAACCATGTTCAATACCTGCTCTTCTGGTAGCGTCCCGTCATCTTCAAGAACTTGAAATAGTTCTCCCTCGGCAAAGTCAGTCACGGCACATACCTAAGCAAGACGTTATCCACATGAAATTATTTCTCAATTCGACTAAAATTTTTAAGTATCCCCTAAAAACCCAGTGCTACTTTCATTCCAGAGCCATATTTAAGCCATTGAAATTACTTAAACGTTGACTTTTCAACTACTTGTTAAAATAGTATTACATAAATATAATAGGGATAATTTCTACCTCGTTCTGGGTCTCGAAGGTGTCTATCATTTCGACTATGTTATCGTGGTGCATTGACTTCATAATCTCGATCTCTCTCCTCAGGGTACGCAGCTCTTTCTCCGTCCGTCCGATTTTGCTGATGAACTTCATGGCCACCACCTATATCAATAATATGCATTTACGCGCAATTCTGCATCGCATCCATTTGTGATAAATTTCACATTTTTGAAATGTATGATAGTATTATCGATCAAATCTAACCTGTCCGCAAAACTTTTTGCGACCCTTGTAGACTTTTCCAAACGAGCCTTCTCCTATTAACTCTAACACGTGATAACCGTCCATTCTCGCGTTTTGATTTTTTATTATCAAGACATTCAAACTCTAAAAAATCGACTACTTCAAAATCTTAACAATAATTTTGAAAAATCAAGTAATTCAAAATCTTACAAAATTTTCCGCCTATTTCCGTCGACCTTCCGCCACCTACATATTAAGAGTATAATGTCTTGACTACCCCGCTATAAGCCCTTGGAGTCTTTCAAACACCAATAAAGCGGATCAAACACATAGGGTTAAAACATATGAGCAGAACACAGACACTGAAATTGAACACTTGCAGAGCGCAGAAATGTTAAGTTAGATTTGAAACGTGAACTCACAATAAAAAAAAACAAGCGTTTACATGTGAAAAAAAATCTAGAAAAACATATTTCAAATTACAAATTTCCCTACGGTTTCATGGTTCAAAGGATTAAGCATAGCCAATAGATAGTTGGAAAAAAATCAATTAACGTAAACAAAAAAAACCGACTTCTCAACTTTTCCGAGAAAAAAAATAGATGTCCCTACAGGTCTTTGAAATTCTAGAACAATTTATGATTGACACCTTTTTGATAATATTAACCCAATTTGAGAAAACTGGATCAATAGGTAAAATTTTCATTTCGCTGGGAAGCCTTAAAAGGGAAATCTTGAAACTAAATTCCACTTTCGAAACTAGAAATTGTTCACTGAAATCGCTCGGAATTCCATTTTCTCAATTAAAAGTAAATCACGTTTTTCGCTACCTTTACACTTTTGCTGTTCGATAGTGCAGGTTGCCAAAAGAAATGAACTGAACTTAAAATCAAATCAAAAATCGAACAGCGAAAAGGTAACTTTGGGCCTGAACAAAAGCGAAAAAATCATGGCGACCTGTATAAGAGTCTGAACTTATAAGAGTCTGGGGGGGGGGGGGGGGGGGGGGGAGATAGATCAATAGGTACTACTTGAAAATAGTTTGAATGATATGAAATCATAAAACATATTTTCCAACGACTGTGGAAAGCCAAAATTTACAATATAAAAGCAAAAGCTCAAAAGTTTCATTCAGATTGAAAAAAAAAGAATCAATAAAACAGGCATAAAAAGCGACTTTTTTTCTTTCTTAAAATGACAGAAAGCTTTAGCTTTTTTAAAATTTTGAGCCGACTTGGTATTCAGAAGACCGTTATTGACTGTGTTGAAAAATCTAAATTGCGATGGTTTGGGCATGTCGTGCGTAGAGAAGATAGTAATCCAATCCAAGAAGCGTATTCCCTTGAGGTCCCTGGAAAAAGACGCAAAGGAAGACCAAGAAAGACATGGATAGAGGACGTGAAGGAGGAAATGAGAAGACGAGGACTGACGGAAGCCGACGCACACGACCGCAAACACTGCCGCTCGAAGATTCAGGAGCGCCCCGCCGACCCCGTTTGAACGGGATAAGGCGGCAATGATGATGATGACAGAAAGCTTTAGCGTACAATATTAAGGTGCTGCGGAGAACCATTTTTTGCTATTCAGATACAAGACTAGAGCACCAACCCTGGTAAATTGCTTTGCTCGATGAGGCTATGGTACCTAAAACAAAAATTTGCAAAAACAAAATTTTTTTCCCCTTAAATTTCGATTTTTTTTTCAAAATTTTTTCGATACTCATATAAAATAAATTTCAGTCGGTTAATTAATTGCGTGCTTTAAACACATCATCCATCTACTTGCGTTTGCTGACGTCTTTTTGTAGAGTTTTTTCGTTTTTGCTGGGGGGGGGGAGATAGCTCAATTGGTCATTGCGGGGGTAAGATTGCTCAATTGATCCCATAAAACCCTACGCCATAGCTCTTGCCCACCCTTCATGGAGATCGTCAGAAAAACGATGGGTGATCAAAACCTCAATTGTTTGAGAAAATATCAATGATTTGTTTTTATCAAATCTGTAACGGCAGCAATCATTTGATTTTCTTATGCATATTGGCACTTTTAGAGCAAAATTAATCAATCGACAGCTAAAACTGCTTCATCCCATGGTCCATGAATCGTATTTTTCATTTTCTGCATTCTGACAAACACATACGGCAGCAGTAAAAGGATTGAAATAAAGAGCAGAAATATTAAACAGAAGGCCACTAAACTGATGAACGCAAAGGCGATTGTTACAAAAATTGTGATCAAAATGTTAGCATAAACCGTTTTCAACGGGTATTCATCTCGCATTCGTTCTGTGAATTTGGGTGCATAAGCGAAGAAGACAAAAGCTTGAATCACCATAGTGAACGTGTGAGCTGTTCCGTCCAAACGTGATGCCAGTAACACTGAGACAAATATGCCACAATTTAAAGAAATAGGACTAAACAGTAAGCTCGAATATGTTCCGTAATTATGGAATAAAACATTTAAAAGAAAGCACAGGGTGGACAATGCATAAATCGTATCAGAACTAATTTCAGCAGTTAAAGTGTTTAAAACGGGCGACAAAATGAATACCAAGCTAGCGAGGAGGCTAGCTCTTCTTAAATCGTTTACAACCGTTTTTGTAGTAGATGGCTTGCTATCGCAGCAGCTTTCTTCCAAGTATAGATGATAAATCAAGTAACAAAATCCTACTCCGCACATTAAAAACATAAGAACAGGAAGAGGACTGAGTCTTTCGTGCGAGAATAAAACAAAAATTCCTATTTCCAACAACACGAAAGACACATGTTGAGCAATGTATGAGCTAGTTTCAGAAACAGTCACAAAATCGTAAAGCTTGATATTAACGTTTTTTTTTAATTCTTGTAGAAACGAGGGTCCAATGTAATTATCGGGTTCATCATTTTTTACATACAAAATTTTCCCACTCCGTCTGGTCATCCGCATTTTTGCTATATATCAACTTGATCTTAAAAGTATGGAAAACATCAAAAAAGACGATTCTCTTTTTTTCAAGAAAACGATCAAAGGACAAAAGTATCATAACTGTTATGATACTGGTCGAAAGTATCATAGTAACCGAGGTTACAGTCAGGAGTTCCTTCATCAAATTTATCTAGTCAAAATTCTCGGAATTTTCTAGATAAGGAAACGATTATGATAGAAAGATGATAAGTGGGTGCGTATTCATAGGTTCCAAAATAAAAAATCAGTCCCATAGGTTCCAAAATAAAAAACCAGTCGCATAAGTTCCAAATCTTTTCAATTGGTCAAAAGACTAAATTAGCCGAGTCTCGGTTTAAGGTCGCCGGTGGGCGCGCTACGCGCGCGTCGCCGCTTTGCGGCGATAACCGGCTCTAAATTTCGTATAGAGTCCTACCCTTTGGTGGCAAGCTCGCAACACGTTGGCGCGGCTGCGGCGGTCACTATTCTGCAGCTTGAGTTTATGCTGATTGAACAGTAAACAATCTATCCATGAATTCGTTGGCTCAAATTTCAACCAATCAGAATTCAAGAAGATAAATTTTGGAACTTATGCGACTGATTTTTTTATTTTGGAACCTATGAATATTGAAACCTATGGGAATTCACCTGATAAGTGTTGATGTGTTTGAAGAATGCATTAAAATTGTAAATTCTGTAACATTCGCCCAAATATCACACAGCGACGGAGCGTAGAAAAAGTACCTATTGACGACTGGCAGGCGTCAGTTACCTTAATTCCACTCGTTTTTCACCGTCTCGACCTTGCCAGTTGATTTTCTGGTCTGTCTAGGGCAAAGTAAAAAGTTACTATTTTTAGGCCATCAGTCAAACGACTTTTGATCAGCTTTCGTTTGCATGCGAACACAACCACATAGCTGAGTCTCGGATCCTCAGACTACGTGATTGTCATTAAAAACACGGCTCGAACCACCTATTTCTATATGTTTTTGTGTGACAGTTTTATATTAAATCCATTGGAGATGGATTGACCTTTTCCTTTCTCTATCTACTCATGCTCTGAAATATTAAATAATAACGGTGTTTAATTCAGATCTAGGACATTACAGCAACTGTTATGGCTAGTTTACACAGTCCCTTCACATATAACAGTCTCTGGGGGACCAAGCCTCCGCTCCCGTGATTTTCTTGAGACAACACTCTTATCTCCTATATTTCGTGTCCCGGGAGGGTTCCGTGGTATTTCTCTTCCCCCCCACTGAAGCCTCCGTCTCCACAAATATCCGTCACTAAGGTCCTTATCGTGTGTTATTGCCACGATAAGAGGCTCCGTAATTTTCTCTTCTCGGATACAACCGTTCGTCACAAAATATGGCGTCGTTCTGATTTTTCTCTATTTTATTCAAAATGGCCGTCTTTTTTCTATTTCTCAGAAATGTTCTCCTTCAAATCGAAATTTTAAAAATAAAAATTCCAGAACATTCTGACCCTCCGTCGCAACACTTTTCTGTTCGTAAGGCCTTTAGTCACTTTTTTTTTCGTCGCGGGAAGGTTATACTGTGTCATCCGGCGGAATGGCACATACTCCCCGGACAAGTCTCCATCAATGTCCCTATTGATCGCACAACACCGGGTTATCGTCAAGTAGGTATCCAGTTTTCTGTAACCAATCTTACAAATCGCATAAGAAAATGAAATTTATCTACTCCACCTCAACTCACTACGTGTTCACAAATGGCATCGTACTACATCTCACTGCCTTTCAACATTTTCACAAAAGTTGCACCATGAGGAGTGTCCTAGATAAAATTTCCTTTCTGACTACTTACGTCATCTCGCCATAAAACTTCTTTTCGCTTCTGATTAAAAAGTGGGACGTGGCACGGCCACGCACCCGTTAAAATTAACTTAACTTCACTCACCAAGTATAATTAGTCATTTATGCGGTCCTTTCAATATTAAAACTAAGAAACTCTGTGGCTAGGAAAGTTATTGAGTTACCCACCCTTCTCGAGCGAGTTTACTCAAACTTACCATGTCGCCACACAGTGAATTTGTGTCTTACACAGGTTAAAAACTTCAGTCGTGAATAAATAGGTAAATATACTCACCTATGCTCCTTATATACATACATAGATAGTAGTAACTAAAATCAACAATTTCAACAATTTTAACAATTGCAACAATTTTCAAAGTTTGGTCTGACCAAACTAAATCAAAACAAAAAGTTTCACAAGTTCAATAATCAAAACTTGGTTGATTTGTTCAAGTTTTTACACACAAAGACAATCAAGTTTTTTCTCCTTCTCTTCTCTTCCTCCGTCATCTTCATTCCATCATTTCTCCATCCTGATGTTCAGCGTCACTGTCTTCCAGAACTTTCTCTAACATGTCCAGAGAGTTGCGGGCCGTGCCCCAACCCTCCTGCTCCAACAGCCTCGGTTTGCAACAAGGTAGTAAGTCCACATTCACCTTCTGCTCCCGGTTCCTGCAAAAGCTGTTGTGAAGACACAGGCTCACGTTTCGTTCTAGGTCAGCTCTTAAGACCTCTTTCTTTTCATCTTCAGTAACACAAGGCGCTCCAGCTACTCGCTTCACCGCAGTGGTGACCGCGTTTCTATGCGTCAGGAAAGCTCTCTTATAGGCTCCTGGTCCTATGTCTAGCTGGAAAGATTGATAGGCTTCCGTGTTCCTTGACATGTGACGCTTCGCGCGTTCATACATCCAAGATGTCATCACTGCACGGAACCAAGGCATCAATCTTTGCCTTGACCATATTCTTTCAATGGCTTTAGGTATTCTCAGAACCTTGCAAGTGGTTCTGAAAAGATCCAATTCACTACTCATTTTCACGTTGCTCAGCTGTTCAGGAGTCGGCACGGCCGTCTCCTGCTCATTTGTGTCCGCATAAGCCTCCAACCATCTCACTGCTAGCATGGCGCTAACCACCACGATTGACACTGGTTGATTCTGATCGGGCAACCCCGTTGAGTACAACTCCTCCACATCCCATACTAGGATCAGATTCCCGCGTTTGGGGTACCACAACGTCTGCGCTAAGCAGTGGCAAGGATACTCCCCGTGGGTTCTCACTATGTTCCTTCGGGTCCGATACCCTGAGGCTCCCAGCAACGGTTCCACTTCCATCAGGATTCTATGTAGATCGTCTTTCTCTTCTATGGTGGGGAATTCAGTGGGTAACGCTCCACTCGCTTTCTGCTTCTGGAACTCACTCACGTTGCCTTCGTTCAGTATCATGAACTCTTCACCCACAACGTCTTGCAACTCGCCTTCGGATCTCTTCGGGACTGCCCGAAAGATCTTTGCCAACAAGTCATATGACCTCTCTGACATTCTGGCCAACCTCACGCATTTTGGCACAGAGAAAAGCTGGTCAACCAACACCTGTTGCGTCCTCGCATCCATCACCACCATGTGCGTAGGATACTTGCTATTGCAGTATGGCGCGGAGCTTGAACCCACCATATATTTTGAACCAGCAGGTCTGTGATAGGCTTCACTATCCCTCAGATTCATTTCATTCTCTAGGGCTTCTCGCCAGCCTCCAATCTTTTGCTCTGTCTGTAATGCTCCAGGGAATATCTCCACGCTGAGGGACGTCACTAGCTCATGGGCACGCTCCAAGCGCTCGAGCGATTCTATCGAACTCGTCATGCTATAAAATCCCAAGGCTGTGATCAGGTTTACGTCCGTCACCCCATGGCAGTCTGCGACCAATTCCATGGCACTCTTATCTGACATGCTTAATCTTCCATACAATCGTGCCAGTTGTCGATGCTGCTCGCTCAGCGTAATCAGGCAGTGTCCCACGTTACAAACATGTCCTTCCATCCCATTGTGTTGAGCCAAGCATGTGCCTTGCTCCAACCAATCACTCGACGTACTTTCCTCGGACAGCTCCGTGGACGGGTTGCTCTTCTTCTTCATCAATCTCATGCTTAGCAGGTGATGTATCATGGCCAGATCATGTAAACTCGCATCATCATCCCTTTCCAATATGACATCCGCGGTCATGTCCCAGATTAAGCCTGCGTTAGGATGGGGACACCAGGAAGGCTTCATGAGTTCCCACATCACCACTAGACTGGTTTTCAAGGGACCGTCCCAAGAACCACAATCAAAACTCACTTGCCCTTTTAGCTCGGGAATCGAGGGTTCGACTACTCGTTCCTCCAAAATAATTCCCAGCTTGGGTTGTTCCACCATCAGCATTCCGATCTCCTTAATTCGTTCAACCCAGAAGTTGAGCACTGTGACTTGCTCGTAGTCGAAGTATGCTTCCCTGGCTTCTTCGTTCACGAAGGGATTATACGCCATCCCTGGTATGCCAGACACGTATTGGAACGACTTCAGTCTCCCTAGGGTTGCAAACTCTTTTTGTCCTCTGACCGCTTCAATCAAGTCTCGACTCACTTTCAATTCTTTGTTGGAGTATCTTCTCACTTCTTCCAACTTGCGATAGCTTTCCATATCATTCGACTCCTTGTTTGGCACGGTCAATGGCATGTCCTGATATAGCTCTAGGAGAGCCCTAAGGAAGTACCTTTCGCAATCAACTCCCTTTTGCCGAATGATCTTTACACATTCTCCCAACACAGGAGTGGGGATGCGACCCACCACAAACCTGACAAAGCAAAGGGCATCCTTCCGTTTAGCCCATGCTATCGCTGAATCGTCTTTTGAGATCAATGTTCGTAAAGCTTCCATCAATTCTAGCTCCTGTTCTCGTGATTTCGAGTCGTTGCTGGCTTCATACTCCGCCCTTTTGATGCCCATCAAGCACCAAGCCAGTCGTACTTGCAGATCAGTTCTCACGCAAGGATGAGCCAGGTATGCTGCTACAGTCGCAGGTGCATTCATCGTCTCATCAAAGTATTTCTGGAGGGCCGCCCTCCAAGAAATCTCTAGCAACTTTTCTAATCCAATTTCGTTCGCTTCTGATGACATTACTGTCCCATATTCTTTTCGATTGAAGTTGGAGTTCTCCGTAAGCCCCTTCA